GCTCGGTGGTTGCTGGTTTTATCCTTCCGGCTGCAGATGGTACTCTAGTTATCCACGTCACAGAAGCGTTCAACTTTCATTTACCGGAAACACGGTCGAGGGAAACCAGAAATTCGGTATTTACATCTATGGTCCAGAATGGTACGAGCTAAGTGCTGTCTTAGCAAATAACGAGATCAAGAACAATAGTGGTTATGCACTGAAGGTGGCTTACTATGACAATTACTGTTCCGACGATTATTCCTTTCCTGCCCATGTGAGAGTTCTATCCAGCACCTTCCTCAAGAATATAGGAGAATATACTGTTTTCGTTGACTACAATGCTTTTCCCACAAAGCGGTACATCGTCTTCAACAATAACTCATTCATCGAGAACCGAGCCATCCAGTCATTCTCCAGCAGCTATGTTCGTACTAAAACACAAGCAGTTTTAGCCGTAAAAGAAGGGACAATCACCGTGGAGCATAATTCGTTTGTCAATCCTTTGTTTCCTAACGAAATGGCAACTCTCCTTAAAGATCAAGAAAGAGTTATTCAGGCTAGGGAAAACTGGTGGGGCTCAAGAGACGAATGCAAAGTAGAAAAAAGGATTTTTCACTTTGGCGATCGAGTCGAACTAGCACAGATTCAGTACTACCCATTTCTGGATTCCGTTCATTCTAACACAGTTAAGGTCCGTAATGGTACCCGTCGTTTCTGTTTCCTTCAAGGAAATATGTTAGGTGGAACACTAAATCAAACTGTCACCTTACCAAAAGACAGTGACACTTACCAAGTAGTAGGGGATGTCATAGTTCTACCTAATGGCGTCCTTACCATTGAAGAAAATGTCACATTGGAATTTCCATTGCAAGCCGTTTTCATTGTTTTTGGTCAGGTTGTCATCAAAGGTACAGAGAGCAAGAGGGTAAAGCTTATTCCTAAGAAGCCTTTGCAAAAGGAAATAAGACTCGTTGGTAGTCCTGACCCATGGGATGGAACACTTGAAATATGGTTCAATAACACATGGATGCCGGTGTGCCTAGCAAGATATCACTATGTGCCTACTATAGTATGCAGGCAGTTAGGATATGAAGCAAAAGGTTACAGTTATCGTTACTCAAATGGAAAAGAGACCTTTGTCCATAATGTTCGATGTGACTCAGATGAAAGTGACAGTATCATACACTGCAACGGGAACAACTGGATGGCATCATCGTCATGCTCCAGCTATGTCGCGTATATTCGTTGCAAAACTCCTTATTGGAGCGGCGTTCACATGACGATAACACCAAAGAAAAGTGACATCAGAAATGTTGATATAGACTACGCAGGCTTCGCTTACAGAGATGACCTCAGCATCCCTGGTATTGCTCTAAGGGTGGACGTCAATCAGCACAACATCAATGGCGTCTTGGTGAATAATTCTGCCAGCATGGGAGTGCAAATGATGTATCCAGATCCCTTTAAAGTTTCACCCGACATCATAAACTCGACAATAACCAATACTGAGGGGTCTGGAGTACTTCTAGAATCTCCTTTTCTGAGCCTCACGACTACTAATGTTGTAAACACCAAAGGCTACGGGTTTACGTATTATTATAGCTGGAAGCCCCTTAACGACCATGTTTTCAAAATAGCCGACATGAGTGTGAAGAAGAACATCAACGTGTGCTCTGAAAATGACACTTTTATCGATGATTCTAGCGCAGTGTACTACTTGGTTGTGAGAGCAAAAGGCCGCCATGCCTGTGAGAAGGTGATCACAGTTCCACAGGATTATAGCGTTGGAATGCAGTTAATCCACCACGATTTGCGATGGTCGTCAGTGTTCCATGTCTTCAGTGGAACAAACAAGACACTAAGCACTCATTGGGATGTTCACTCATTAAGCTTAAAAAGCCGTCCTGTCTGGAAAGCAAACTCAAGCTCAGTCCTTTTCGAAAGCTCAATGTCCTATTACGATCATTACTTTACCACGGTGCACTTTGTACTGTTTCTCATCAAAGGTAAGTAAGCCATTCTTTGCAGGCTTCTGTTAAATAGTTTTTACAACAAACAACACATATTGGACGAGAAATAAATGATACGTCTTACCTACTTCAGTCATGGACTTAAAGAAGGACAATGTATACCCGTGCTTACTTACAACTGTATTGAAGATTAAAAAATATATATTTTTGCTTCAGGCATCTAAGTGGGTATACCCTTAAGGGAGTTGTTCAGGTAAAATGATCCACACACTTCATGTTCACTATGCGGACATTCAGAGTCATTACACTCCTACTCTGCTGCGTTTTCCTGTTCAGAGGTACTTTGTCACTCAATTGTGCCATAGAACAACATGGAATGTCTCTAAGACATTTTCAACTGTCACTTGATCACTGTTTTGTTTTACAACAATCTCCAAATTTTGCGATTTTTACAAATACATAAGCTGAGACAGCACAGTAACATAGCATAAAGACAATATAACTGATGTGGTTTATTTGGTCTGATCGATCGAAGCCTAAGAATTTTAGTAATGGGATTTTTTCGCTTCAGTTTTCCGATGTCACATGCTAAGTCAACTGCCCTAACAATTTTAAACAAAATTGATGACGCCATGAGGTTGCGGCAAATTGCATGCTTGTGTGTTTGTTTTAACAACTGTTTCTGTTTTAAATGATAGAACCGGACAGAGCAAAGCAGCGGTTGACATCGCCGAAGCTGATCATCTCGAAAAGCAATTTTATCAGCAACGCTTATGGCGGGGTATATTTGGGGGGTGAACACTCAGGAAACGTTCAGATCCAAAGCTCAGTTGTACAAGACTCACCGGCTGACGGCGTCACATCGGATTTTTCACATGTTGAAAACCTTAACCTGTTTAACTGTTCCTTTATTGGAAATCAGGTTGGGATTAGACTTTCTTCGTTTTCGGGCAACGTTAATATTGAAAACACCGACGTTTCAAACTCGACTTCCAATGCCCTTTACATAGTTTCGGATGGTCAGAAAATGGTCCATTTCCTAAACAGTAGCGTCATTCACAGCGAGGGATTTGGAATTTATCTGAAAGGTAATTACGAAGACGCAAGTCTTTTTGCAATCAATAGCTTTTTTGGGTGGAACAAAGCTACCTCAGTTTACTCAGACATTCGTTACGCCCGATACACTCCTGATGGATCACAGGCATCCTTTAAAAACTGTACATTTTTAATGAATCAGGGCCCTGTAGTAAACATCGATGAATCCCCGAAGTTTTATCCATGGGAATTTGAAGGTAACATTTTCATGAACAACACACAGAATTCCGTTATCATGACGACTAGATATACAGATGATCGATTTTCGCCTGGACTCTTAGTTCGACGAAATAAGTTCTTATTTAACTTTTTCCAAGAGAAAGGAGTCATTTATGTTAGAGGAGGCACAAAGGAGTTGATCATTGATGGAAACGTATTCGAAGGAAACTACGGACGGTCTGTGTTTGTGGAAGAACAGTCTTTTTTTCGAGCTCCTGCCGCAATTCAATATAACGTTTTCAAGGATAATAGCGACGCGAACGGAAGCGTTTTAGAGATCAGAAGAATGGAAAACGACGTCATAATTCTTAACAATGTCTTTAAGTTTAACGAAGGACTAAATGTGGTTCTCCTCCATAACGAGTATTTTGTAGGTGCCAAAAAACATATCACTTTCATGAACAATTCACTTCTAAACAACTCAAACACTTGGTCTTCTGGTTGTGAAGTTGAGATCTCAGGAATGAAGGAATATAAAGTAATTTCAATACGCCACAATAGATTTAACAGCCAAAGCTTTCCAAAGGAACTTTGCGTAAACATCACTGCAGACTCACACACCAGCATTGTGAATGTGTCCTTAAACTTCTGGGGTTATGACAACGAGAATCAAATTAAGGAGAGAATCTATGATGCTGAGGACAATTACGAAAGGGCCTTGGCTGTTTTTATTCCATTCTTTGGCAGCATGGGAGAATTAATGCAAGGGTCAAACCAAAGCGATGGCCGCGAAACATTTGCAACTCGATATTTGGGTGGACGTATTTCATCTAGCCTTAACCTGTGGAGTAAATTCAGCCCTTATATAGTAATTTCCGATGTTACTGTTTTGCCGGACGCTGAACTAAAAATTCACCCAGGTGTCGAATTACAGTTTGGCTCAGGTGTTGGTATGTTGATTCTTGGTGCTCTCTTTGTGCTGGGAAATAGGGAGAATCCTGTAACATTTTCTCTGCTGAAGAGAAGTCAAACGAAAATATCGATTCCTGTTCGTTTAGTGGAAGGCACATTCCCGTGGCAAGGACGTTTAGAAGTATTGCATAATGGTAATTGGACCCCAGTGTGTGTAAACGAAACCATGACATTTGGAAGGAAGAACGCTAAAGTGATATGTGGAAAACTCGGCTATCAAGCGCCTGCGTTAATCATTTATGTCGTTCATTCATCTTCACTTGGTGCAATTTTGAATTGCCGTGGTAATGAAACAGAGATTAACGAATGTCTGTTATCTTTCCATAATGTCAGTGGCAATTCGACTCGACAAGTTGCCTTACACTGCAAAGGAGGGACGCCCTGGGGAAATTTAAGATTTCTTCGCGTATTTCGGAATACTTCTTACCCAATGACATCACGTCTACAGCATTTAAAAATCGAGCACTGTGGTGAAAAACATGGCAAGAAGGTTGCTGCTATTGAAATGATTCAGAACGTTCCCGAAATGAATCACGTGTCTATTTCAAATTGCACAGCAGGTGGTATCAAAGTTTTGTTTCCAGAAAGAGAAGTGTACCTGAGAGACATGTTCTTGGTCAATACTGGAGGTTATGGAGGTGACATTTTGATACCAAAACGGAATTTCACCATTGAGAAAGTAACGTCGATGAACAACACACATGGGTTGAGTTTTCATGAGTTGGATGGTCATTGGATTGAAGGTGTTTCCTACGGACAAGTTTTGTTGTGCGATCCAGCAACAAATGTCACTATTAGGGATCGTGATTTATTCCTATACGT